AAGGTCCCCCCCAATAAAAGCCCAACTCCAAACGTGTTCGCTCTCTCTCGCCAGCCTCTGGTGACTTTCTCTTGCTCTCCCATTTGGGGAGCTGCAAGCTGAGAGTGCAGAAACCATCCTGAAGCTTGTTTAAAGGTAAAGTGTGTGTCTATGTTTTATTTAGTGTCCCTGGAAATTCTCACGAGTGACCCTAAATTCAGCTGCCCATGTGGGTCAGAGGCAGCAGACTACAATAGCAATTATAAATTTATATGTACCAAACAACTGAGAATCAAAATATATGAGGCAAAAATCTCACAGAAATAAGGAGAGAAACAACAACAGCTATAGTTGGAGATTCAATATACCACCTCCAATAATATGTAGAACAATTAAGCAGTAAATCAATGTATTAGTTTTCTAGGGTTTCCATAATAAAGAGCCACAAACTAGGTGGCTTAAGCAACAGAGATGCATTGCCTTACAATTCTGGAGGCTGTCTTCAGTTTTGGTCTCCTTCTGAGGGCCATGAGGGGTGGATCTGTTCTAGACCTCTCCCTTGTCTTCTTATGTCTCTTTACCTCATCTTCTAGGTGTCTGTGTCTAAACTTCCCTGTTTATAAGAACACTTGTCATACTGGCTTAGGGTACAACCCTAATGACATCATTTTAGCAAGATTAGGTTTGTAAATATCCTATCCCCAAATAAGATGATACCCTGAGGAATGGGAGTTAAGATTCCAACAATCTCTTTTGGTAAAAGTAGATACCATTTAACCCATAACCATTAACAAGGAAATAGATGATTTGGGGACAGGGGTTGTGGCTCAGTGGTGTAGCACTCACCCAGAATGGATGAGGCACTGGATTCCATCTTCAACACCACATAAAGATAAATAAATAAAGGTATTGTGTCCATCTACAACTAAAAAATATTTTTAAAAAAGAAATAGATAGGGGCTGGGATATGGCTCAAGTAGTAGCGTGCTCACCTGGCATTCGTGAGGCACTGGGTTTGATCCCCAGCACCACATAAAAATAAAACAAAGATATTGTGTCCACCTAAAGCTAAAAAATAAATATTAAAAAAGAAATAGATATTTTGAATAACAGTGTAAACCTACTAGATCATATAGTCTTATAGAAAGCATAGAACATAATTCTCCTGCCCCTTATGAATCCATATCTGATAGTATCAAGTATAAAATATATAAAAATAAATTTACTTGTGGTGTTGGAACTCTTAAATATCTTAACTCTGGTTGTGGATACATGAACTTATGCAGGTGATGAAGTTAAACAGAACTTAATACATACCCAAGTATAAGAGAAACTGGGCAATTTTTAAGTATTGTGTATTTTATCAAAGGCTGAGATATTGTAATAATTTTGTTAAAATGATAACAGTGGGAAAAATTTGGAAATGTGTAGAAGGGATTTCTCTATTAATTTTCACACTGCAGGTAAATTTTTTTGAAGATGGGGTCTCTCTGTTTCTCAGGCTGGTCTTGAACTCCTGGGCTCAAGGGATCTCCTGTTTCAGTGCCCATGAATACCTGGGACTACTGGCATGTGCCACTATACCCAGCAACTGTAGATAAATTTGTAATTATCTCAAAAAACTTTCAATGAAAATGAAAAATCTAATAAATATGTAAAATGAAATAAATAAACTATTATATTCAGTCAATGAATATAAATACTGCCAAATAAATTGCAATAGAATAAGCAACATGTTCACATTCCAGACTGATATCACTATATGATAAAGGTAACTGCCAAAAGGCTACAGGTAGCATAATACCAGGGTGAAAACCAAAATAAAGTGAAATGGAATTTCATGTTGTTTAGACATATATGTTGATGTGATAAAATAATTAAACAAAAAAATCTAGGATCTGGGCATGGTGGCACACACCTGTAATCCCAGCGGTTCAGGAGGCTGAGGTAGGAGGATCATGAGTTTAAAGTCAGCCTTAGCAACTTAGTGAGGCCCGAAGCAACTGAGTGAGACCCTATCTCTAAATAAAATATAAAAAAGGGCTGGAGATTTGGCTAACTGGTTAAGTGTCCCTGGGTTCAATTTCCTGGTATGCCCCCCCCAAATAAAAGCTAGAAATGATAACCAAAAAAGGTAGCTTCTATCTCTATGGAAGAAGCAGTGAGTGGGGAAGAGGGAACAGTAAACTGAGTTTGCAAATTATTTGTGGCTTCCTATTTCTCAGATTGGGGGATAGATTTGTGGGCATTTATGATAAAGTACCTAAAAATAATATTAGATGAAAAGAGGATATATAGATAGTTTAGATTTTTGAAAATGAAGAGAATACAAAGAATAACCATAAATCTCTAAATGTGCTATCTTAGATAACCTTTCAATATTATCTTAGATAACATTTTTTAATCTTCTAGGGAATTATACATTGCCAAAGTTGACCAAGCAGAAAAAGCAAAACTGAATAAATCAAATAATGAATTTGAAATAAATGAATAAGAAGCCTAAATGATTCTCTAGGAAAAGTTTACCAAACATTGAGGACTTTATCATTATATGTTAGGAAGTATAAGAAAAAAATTAAAGGATAAATTATCCCTAAATTCACTTTACAATCTTAGAAAAACCTTTACACCAAATTAGTATAGAGACAGCAAAAGAAATTATCATAGGCTAATCTAATAGATGAAATTTTTCAGATAAATGGAATCCAGATCTCTTTTTCACATCTTCGTATATGCCTGTATTAGGGCGACCATAGGAAATCCCAGTGATTGACCCTTATTGACACAGGTGGAATATTTTCTTTTCCAAAGATGGCTCTAACAGTAGCTCTCATTTCATAAATCATTTATAATGTGCCCTAGCTGTTCCTCCCTTTGAAATTCTCATCCCACTGCTTTGAGTTTTGTAACTTACTTTAAGCCAAAAGAATGGGGTGGAAATGTGAGAAACACACTCACCAGTCCAACCCAAAGAATGGACTTACAACACAAGCAGAGGCTTTATTTTAATGATTGTCTTGCAAGATCTGGCATCTGGTATCAGAAATGTATATACTGCGTACAACCAGCATTTTATTCCCTTGTTATGGGCCAGGTTATATGGGCAGTGACCAAGTAGACTCCATTTTAATGGAGACTCCACATTATGTAAGAAATGCTTCTCCCATGGGATCACCCCGCCTCTGTACCCATCAACAGTTTCTTAACACAGCATGTTTGGCAACACAAAATGGAAATTCTTATACAATGTAAAATCATTCTCTTTGACTCCCATTTTTCTTGGACAATGTACCCTGTTAGAGATTGATCATCTAGATGTTAGTAATTATTCTTTAACTTATACTCAACTAGGGTCATTTTGACTCACTTCCCTTCTGCTTATGATTTCAGATCTCAAGATGTTTGTTCATGGTTTTGAATCATAGCAACAGCCACTTATTATTAATGTGGTTTTGGACTATAAAAGGTATACTCAAACCCCAGGAGGGGGTCAAAGGGTACAGATTTTCAGCCTGCTCCTTGGCCCATTAGCTGGTGGATCTGGACCACCAGCAGGTGAATAAAGGTTCTGACTCCTGCTTTAAGATAGACTAGGTGATTTATGGCAATCTTGCCATAACAATCTAGAGTGCAAGATCCCTTCCTTGGTTCCTTATTGGCTGAGTACTATGGCGTCTGTACAGTCACCTAGGTTTTAATGTCTCCTATTGGGTTATTTGAAGAAATATGCCTTGGGTCATTTAAAGTTATCCCCAAGTCCCTTTGTTATCTTGTGGTGGGAAAGTCTTCTTAGGGTGAATGCATTCTGACATACATGCAGCTTGCTGTTCTCTTTCTGCTGGCCAGGCCCACCCCTTCCCAGCCCTCCTGTTTGTCAAGGGGCTGTTCAGGTGCAGTGGACTTTGGATTTGCCACACCCACAGGCTGTAGTGCTATTTTGCAACTTTCCCTTCTCTAGATCCCCTCTGGGGGCCTTTCTTTCATTCTAATTTTAGATTTAAGGCTGAGTACTGTATTCTGAAAATGGACCACTGGACTTTCTGGTTCTTTCAGAAGTGATGGTGCAACACTTTTCAGAATATAAAAAGCAATGTGTGTCTTTCTTTTTTCCTGGGATACTTGTTCTTGAAAACCATCTATCATGTAAGCAGTCCTCTCCTAACCCTAACTCCCCATAATTGAATCCAGGGACACTCTACCACTGAGCTACATCCCCAAACTTTTTTTTTTAGTTTTTGAGAAACAGTTTTGCCATATTTCTCAGGCTGGCCTTGAACTTTCAATCCTCCTGCCTCAGTCTCCCAAGTCATTGGGATCACTGGCTTACGTCAGTAAAGCAATTCTTGAGAGGCTGCAATGTTAAGAAACTTCAAGTAGTCCAACTGTGAAAAATAATAACATCTTCATAGTCATGTATGTTATAAAGTTTTGGGTGATATTTTGGAAAGCAGTTATGATGGGAATAAAAATTTGGTACTGGGGTGGGGTGCTATTCAATAAAAACTTAAAACATGGCACTGGGTGTTACCACCCAGAATTTGCAAGTGTCATGTTCACTGAAACACTCAGGGTCACTCCAGGGGAACTGGGCTGCACGAAATAACCACACAAGAGCCAGAGATACCTTTTTCTTTGGTTCCTGTACAGCTCCTCTGACCTTAAGGGTCCAGAGAGAGAGAGAGAGAGAGAGAGAGAGAGAGAGAGAACTTGCGAGTGCACTTGCTAAACCCTTTTATTGGGAAGAAGCCATTCAAATGAGGCAAGGGATCAGGTTTCAGGGGGTTGAGTCTAGCTTCCTGAGGTCTGCTGTCAGCAGGTTGACTGACATCTAGGAAGGCCATACCCAAAGGCAGAACAAGAGAAAGGGACACACAAAGTGTTTCCATGGAACATTGTTGCAGTAATTCACTTGCAGGTCAGCATGGGAAAAGAAAGAAGAAGAAGCAGAGCAAGCAAAGCATCAGAGAAAAAAAGTCCTTTATTGTGTACAAGCAATCTTTTTATAGTATTGTGAACAAAGAAGGCAGCCTTCCAACATTAATAAATCAGGTCTTTCAGCTAATTAAACATAGCATACAGAAGTTGTACTTTCTAATCAGAAGTGACCCACTTCTCATGGCTAATCTACTCTTGACCTAGAGTATGCTGAGCTCTGCTCTTTGTTTAGAACAGATAAAAAATTTTTCTCAGCACCCTCCTAGCCCACTTGGCAGAACATCCCGTTTGCAGGCAAGACCTCCCAAGGACAGCAGACATCTCGTTTTCAAGCATGTCCACTGTTACCTTATCTAAACCTTGAAGGACCCTCTCGTTTGCGAGTAGACCCTCCCAAGGACAGCAGACACCTTGTTTTCAAGCATGTCCGCTGTTACATATCTATACCTTGACAGAATATCCTGTTTGCAGGCAGACTCCATCAAGGACAGTAATAGTAACACAGTTACTTCTGATTCTCTACATTCTATCCGAAACAGGGAAAAGGGGTAATATCACAAAGGAACAGGTGAGTGTAGCTCAATCCATGGGGCGACACACCTATGTCTGAAGACACATCCTCAAACTTCCGGGACCGGGGCAATGTCCAGGTAGTGTCAAAGCTTCTTCACTCCAGGACTGAGAACACAAATCATTCAGAGTGGCCTCCCACATGCTTGAAGCTCATGGAATATATTATTAAAGCCTGAAGGGCCTTGGAGAGGGTAACAGCAGAGCCTTTGTGAAGGAGTTTGCTGGGGAATTTGAAGGAACATAGTGAAATTCCATAGAACACGGAGATAATGGGACTTTGTTTTGTAGATGTAAAATGGAAAATTTACCTGAAAGGAAAGTAACCATGACACTTGGAGCGACCAAGAGATCTTTATTGTGGCGATGTTTGATCGATAGGAGAAAGAGGAGGAGAGAGAGAGAAAAGGTGGGGGAGATGTTATGCCAGATTCGTGGGACCCCAATAGACCTCCAGGAGCTGAATCTGATGCAATCACACAAGAGTATTTATTGCAAGCTCGAGCCTGGACTCACAACCGCTCCGTTGCAGCGGTCCCAGGGAGTGAGCCCTGGTCCTTTGTTCAGTGAGATTTTATAGGTTTTAGGGGGATACTCTATGCATCACTACATCACACAGCAAATCATTCCATCCCGAGGGAAAATCAAACCACAACTCTTAACATTGATTAGCACATTCAATGGCGGGAACAAGATGGCTAGAGGTGATTGGTTAGTACAAGAAGGGCATTCTTTTGAACTGATTGGTTTAGGCCATGAGGGGTGTACGTGCTGAACTACATGATTTCCCAACATGTTATCAACCACCATAAACTACTTAGGGGTCATCTGGCATTCCAGGTATTTTCCCTATCTCATGCTGATTGGAGGTTGCTAGAGGGGTTGCTATGGGTCCTTACCTAGCCTTACTGAGTCAGGGACACGTGGTGCCACATTCCTCTCCTGTTATTTACAGACAAACAACTCAGCTGGATGGGTATGTGCTTAGGAGTGCTCTGTGGGTTTTTCCAAGAAAAAGGGTCACACCCCCTTCCTTGGACACGCTTTGCTCTGAGGTAGAGGCTGGTTTCTCAAAAATGGAGTCACATTAGTTTCTCAGAGCAAAGCAAGAGAGAGAGAGGAGAGAGAGAGAGAGAGATGGTGGGGGCAGCAGGAGAGAGTTTTTATAGCCAAAATCTAATGGGGTGTTTGGGTCTGCAAGCTGCCTTGTTGGCGCACAGTGATTGGATCATACAGTAGTTGCTAAGGGTGTCATCTTCTGCCTTCAGGCAGACAGGGCAGGGTGGGTTTTGGTTGCACTAGATGAGTGGGGGCTGAGTGTTCAGACTTGAGGCAAACAAGTGATCATGAACCAAACAAATGGGGGGTCAAGTGTCCAGGCTACCTTGCAGCTAAGCCTGCTCCACAACTAACATTACCTACTGACCTCTAATGTTGTAGATAAGTGAGTTTTAAACAATGTATTCAGGACACTACCTGGCTTTCTCGATGCTTATAACAAAATCAGAGCAATGAGAAACTAAAACTGAGCTATTACAAGGAGGAAATGTCTTTCTATTCAATAACCTTCTCAGCAAAAGCAAGGTCCTCAGAAAAAAGATGAAATGCAGGGCAGGCTATAATATGATTAGGTGCGATTTCAGATGGATTCAGAGGTGCCTAATGAACACCTTCAAACAAATACAGGCCTTCTGAGGGCATGCTTCTGTGGAACCTCTTGCAAACAACAGAGCCAATAGGAATTAATTTTTTTTCTTCAGTGCTGGGCATGGAAGGCAACTTATAACTTCTGCATATTAGGCAAGTGCTTTACCGCTGAGCTACATCCTTAGTGAGAGCAGCTGTGTGTTTCAAGGGTGTGCTCCCACTAAACAGAGCCCAAGGTACAGAAACAAAGACATTTATTAGGAGCTGGGGCTGGGGCTGGGGTCAGCAGTAGCACACTTGTCTGGCATGTGTGCGGCACTAGGTTTATAAATAAATAACGGTCTATCAACACCCCCCCCCCAAAAAAAGAGACATTTATCAGGAGGTAGTTTTTGCCTAAAGAGGTCGCCCACGGCCCCCTTCCTCCCACAGCCCCCACAGCCCCTCATCTTCTTCAGGCTCCTCCCACGGCCCCCCATCTTCTCCAGGCTCCTCCCACGCCCCCCCCACCTTCTCCAGGCTCCTTCCAAAGGCTCCTCCCACGGTCCTCCAGTTCCCACAGCTCCACCGCCGGCTGCTCCTACAGCTGCTCCCACCGTTCCAACCACGGGCTCTCCCACGGACTTTCCCACGGGCTTCTTCCAGGGGCTTCCCCCACGTGCGCTTTTCTCGGGCGTCTGCGTATCGGACGGGGCGCGCGTCCCGCAGAGCACACTGGGAGCGGTAGTTCTGCGCGACATTCCATCGCGCAAGCGCTCTCTGCCGAGCCACCCTGCTCTTTGTCCTTCGCTGCCCGGAGGCGTGCTCGCAGGTCGCTGTCTCCTTGGGGCCTCGGTGGCCGGCGCTGGGCTGCGTATTTCTGCCTCTGGTTGGGCGGCGCGACGATGTTGGGGGATCCGGGTGACGAGCCGGCTGAGGGGAGGTGGTGTCTGCGACGGGCGGCAGGCCGGGGCGGGAGCGCGGGCGAGAATCTGGGGGCGAGTCCGGGGGCGCGCGGCGGGGCGGGGCGGGAATGCGGGCGGGAACCGGGGGCGCGCGGAGGCCGGGCTCGGTAGCGGGCGGCTGCTGCGCTCTGTAGGTGACCTGGCAGAGGCTGACCCTGGCGGCCCTTCTTGGCCTGAAGCCGGCTCTGGGTTTGATACTGGCTTCCCTTTTCATCGAAGAGACTTTTGCCGTTGTGAAACCTGATGCTGACTGTGCTTTTGTTTCAGCCGGTGGTGCTGGTCTGACACCGCTCTGCTGGCAGGTTGTTTTGTTGAAGTCAAGGACTTAATTCTTGATCAGTTATGATAAATATGAAATGTGTGATGGGTTTCAAGCATTTTAATAAACATTAAAAAGAGCGTTATTCCTGATACATGACCGAAGGTAGTCGCCTTGGTGCCTTTATAGTCAGCAAACGTAGGTACGCTTTTTAATGCGTCTTACCTTTTTATATTTACTTAAAAAAAAAAAGAAGATTGAGAACATGCTGCTTTAAGTCATAACGGCATATCATTGCTATCTTTCCTTAAAATGTTTTGTTCAAAGTGGGGAATTTAAACTTACTCCGGGAGTTCTCATCAGGCTCCTGATGACTTGTCTGTTTCTCTTGCTTTTGTCCCTAGTCTGTCAGGGAGATACCAGTTCTGTATATGGGACTGTGTCGCACCTGTGTCCTGAGTGTAGACAGAACAGAGAAGGCCTTTGCCTACTCCACCCCTCTGTCTTGTGGTGAGTGATCACAGGCTCTGAACAGAACTGCATAGGTCCAGGGCCCAGGTGTGAGGCTTCCTGGCATCCTGGTACATGTTGGGAAAGAGGTGAACCTCTTTGTTACACACACACACTCACACTGTCTTTCTCTCTCTCACCAGAGATTGAACCTAGGTGTCCTGTACCACTGAGCTACATCCTGGTATCCAGGTCCTTTTTTGCTTTGAAATAGGGTTTCCCAAGTCGATGAGGCTGGTGTCAAACTTGCAATGGATCCTCCTGCCTCAGTCTGCTGACTCCCAAATCTCTGGGATTCAAAGTGCCTGTCTCCTTGCTGTTTCTCTGTACTGGGTTTTCTGCACTGGGTTTTGTGGGGAAAAATCATCTGGTGCATGACAAGTAAGTTACTTTTTCTTCTCTGTCTTTCTTGCATATTCTCTTAGAATTCGAAGAAGCCTGGAACTGTAGGATGAAAATGCAAGTTGCCCCTCCCTTTCAAAGATGCACGTGAGAGCTGCTATCACAGGGAGCAATGTAGTGCTCGCAGGAAACTGCCACGGTGATAAAATGAAGCCAATGAAGTTAAAATGAGCCACATTCTGCAGTGAGGGGCTTTAGACTTCTTTTGCTGAGGGGGTAAGTGAGAACAGACTATCAGAGAGTTAGTTCAGGGATAACTCCTCCCTCAAGGTCCAACATTGTAAATATTTGTTTCACTTAGTAAAGGCAGGTCTAGAGTCTACAGAGTAACAAATGTCAGATCCCTCTCCCCCCAGTACTGGGGGGATTGAACCCAGATCCTCAAGTGTTGAATCTTTTTATTTGTTATTTTGAGACAGCATATTGCTGAGTTGTCCAGGCTGCCTCAACTTGTGATCCTCTTGCTTCAGCCTCCTGAGTAGCTGGGATTACAGGGGTGTGTGACCACACCTAGTTTTAGAAATATTTTAAAACTACCCAGATTGCTTATCACATCCCTTTCACCTGAAATTCTCAATCTTTGATATTCTCTGCATGAAATCTAACTCATTTTCACATATCTCTCCTTTTGACAAATTCTCAGTGAAATCTAACTAACCCTCACCAAGTAGACTTTTACAAGCTTATAAAGGAAGTTGAAATTGCACTGTGAATTCAGCTATCTTCGAAGAAAATGATTTGAATGATAAAGAGATTTATTGTTTACATTGTCATAATTTTATTCTGTGAAACTAAGTGAAAGCATAATGCAAAGAAAATTAGGTTTCTTGTGGAGTATCTTCTTGGTTCATGGTATATCTGTGTGTGTATGCACACGTGCGGACTATAATTTCCTAATTGCTCAGAAATTTTACTTATTTTTGTACCTGGGATTGAATCTGGGACTTTGTGCATTAGCACTGTACCACTGATCTACATCTTGGCACTTTTTATTCTATTTGAGACATGGTCTTACCAAGTTGCCCAGGCTGGCTTTGAATTTATGATCTTGCTTTCTTAGCTTCTCAAGTAGCTGGGATTACAGATGTAAACCACAGTGACCTGCTAGGTTGTTTCC